ATTGTTAATTATTACTATTACTATTATTGTTAATTATTACTATCACTATTAGTATTTCTATTACCATTAATATTATTGTTGTTTTTTAGTTACTGCTATTTTTTATTATAATATTATCACTGCTGGATAGGAATGAATGAGAAAGGAAAGTGATATGAGAAATGAAGTTAGGATTACCTTATGCATCTGTAATATATGATTTAATAACAGATATGATTATAAAAGATCTTACGTGGTGAAGAAGCATTAGTTAAATCGGGATCCATCGCTACAACTTTAACAATTTCCATTCCTGCTATCGCATCACGTGGAATTGCTTTTTTATATATATTACTTTCAAATATTGGTCCATTATCATTTCTAAAGTAAAAATTAAATTAATTAATATTTCAAGTTCATTCTATAAGTATTTAAAAATTCGTCTCATTTTCTTGAAACACTATTTTGAACGACAGTTTTATTTTTATCTGAATTTTAATGATTTTTCATTATCTTCGATTTTAAAATAGTCATTTTAATTTTAACATCTGATTTTCTTCAAATTGATTGGACGTTTCGAATTGTTGAAAAACTTACACATCTAATACCATAATTTTTACAGTGGCAAACACCGCGTTATCCTCAATATCAGATGCTTCCGAATTGGTTAACATTATATGAAGCCTGAAAGTAAAATAGATATTGAAAGGAACATGAAAAATATACTCTTCATTTATTCATTCTGAAGATTTAAAATGTTTGGAAGAAAAAGAATTGCAAAAATTATTTTAAAAACACGACTAATTTTAATGGATGAATGCAATATTTACTCATAAAAATCTTGCTCTTCTCGATCCAATTCATTGGCCAATTTCAAAATGCCGTCCGTACGACCAATTGTAAATGTTTTATTATTATCTTTTAAATGGAAATAAACCTTATCATTTATATCCCGATCAAATGCTCGAATTTTGGTTATTAGAAGGCCTGAAATTACATATAAACAAATTAAACTCAAAATTTTATTACTAAATTATTCTCATATTTGAATCATCAATCGATCAATAACTAGCGTCGATATTAACTAATTAATTCGTTAAAAAAAACGAAGACGTGTAATAATGTATGTAATATACTGCTTGTAAAGGATAATTAATTACATCATTTTAATTGATCTTGCGGGAGGAATTTGGAATTATAGAATTCAATGATTACTAGAACTTGATTAAATTTTACTACTGTAAACGGATCTTATTTTCTAATAAATAAATAAATTTATCAATACAATATAATCTCTGTAAGCTTCTGAAGTTCACGCAACTAATAAATTATTATCATCCAAAATTATCACGCATATTACATAAAATAACTTACCAATGTTTTCATCCTCACGTATACTAAAGGAAACATTGCTATCAATAACTTCTATTGGATTGTCATTTTGATCGACAACACGAACTTCAACGTCTAATTCAGCAAATAAATCACCGCTGAATGCAGCAATAACGAGCTGTTATGAAAAAAATATTAATTAAAATTTGAATAATAAATTTTATTCTGAAAATTTTATAACAAAACCTCAAAACGTATAAAAAATTATCAGTGTAGTCGAAAATCTATAATTTCATAAATTAGCACAAGCTAATTGACATTAACTGAAAAAAAATGGTAGTAATTAAATGCCAAAATTAATTACTAATAGCAGTAATAGTAGGAATAATGATCAGAGAAGACAAAAATCTCATTTTTTTTAATTTCAAATATCATTAAATTTTGTCAATCAAAGATATTTTTAGAAATTCATCTATGCAATTCGGTATATTTTATTAATTCAAAACTTACAGCATATCGATCATTTTCCTCGCAATCAAACATTTCTTTAGCTTTTAATTCACCGGTTAAAGTATCAATTATGAATAATTCTGTTTCAGCCACATATTTTACACCATTCCATATTGCATAAGTTACTTGACAATCTTCACTCGATACTACACCTTTGAATTTCGCTAATGTTGAACCCGGAAATTCGTTCTGCAATTGTTTTTAATTAATATGCAACAATGCAAAGGATTTCAATGAAAATAATTTTCTTAATTGAGAAATAAAATGATGAAGAGGATTAGCAATTAGTTGAATCACCTAATTAATCACTTTTTTCAATTGTATTTTCTTCAAAAATTTGTTAGTTTCTTCAAAATTTCAATCTTCCTACTCTTGACAAAATAAAAACGTCAGAATTACTTTTTCTTCATTTTCAAATTTCAAATTTCTGACAATGTCATTTCACCATTTGTGATATTCCGCTAACTGCTTAAAATTCTTCAAAATTTTGATTTAATTTTTTTTTAGTTTTTTTAAAATTCTTCAAGATTTTTTAATTTTTTAATGAATGAATCAATCAATTAACTTAAATTTTTTGTACAAGGAAAAAGAAATAATAATTAGCTACAGCAGCAAACTTACCTCATTAGCATAAATGACATCTGGAACAGTTTCCGGAAAAGTCGGTTGACATTTTGAAGTTGGCAAAATAGTGAGGAAAACGGTAGCAGATGCACCGGTATGTCGACCATCTCTAGCAGTGATAGCAAATTGATACTTTCCTTCTAATCCAAGCAGTGGTACCACATTACGAATGCTACCATCTTCATCAACACGCAATAATGATGATAAAGCTGATGATTCGCTATTCATCATTAATGAATATTCCACATTTGAATCGTTATCAATTGCCTGACGATATAAACATTTCAAATTAAAATTTCAATTACATTAAAAATCTAACTGTATTATTAATTTAGATCCGAATTTTCATTACTTAATAGCTATTCTAATCAATTTTTTTAATTAATTAAATAATTTTAAATTCATGAATTAATTCAATTTAATCATTACATACCGGAGCATTAACTATAAATGTATTTATTGGACTATTTTCCATTACTGTTGCTGAATATGATCGTGCCCGAAATCGAGGCTTAACATCATTTTCATCCAACACATTAACTGTTATCTATCAATGATAAAATTATCATATCATATTTACATTATCATAAATTAATAAGAACAAAATTTTTTGTAGATGTAAGATGAAACTGTTAATAAGCAATTTTTCTTATCTAATTTATCAATAATCTGATCACAAATATTTTAAAACAATTTTTCGCTTATTAATTCATTTAAATACTTTAGATATTGTCTTATAACAATCAATAATTTAATTTACCAAGTTATAAATTTCAGTTTTCAACTTCATTCATTTATAATTTTTTGTCATCTTTTTATTAAATTTCCTCACTAACTTATCAAAAAGTTCAAAAATAATATGAATGTAAAAAGCAAAATTTATTACCGGTAATGATATCACTGGTCCGTTATCATATGAAGCATTTATGATTAAATGAAAAATGGATTTGTTCTCATAATCAAGCGGCAGAAGTGTATGAATAATACCCTATTAAATGAAAAAAATAAATATAATACCTATCAAATGAAAAAAAATGAATTTTAATTAATATTTTGATAATTTTTTCAAAATCATTACACGCTATAAAATCATATCGTTTATTTAAATTCATATTATTTTTAAAATTGTTATGATATTGTTTACATTCGGCGTGTTAGGTATTTACGACGTAGTTCTCATGTCGTAGCACTAATTTTTTATCTCTTTAAAAATTTAATAATATTTTCAGAATAACAATTAATGAAAATTTTTATTTGGGAAGAATAACCTTTTTGTCGATTTCAAAATAAGTTTTTTCATTCCCAGTAATCGTGTATTTAATTTTGGTTGTAATATTTGTTAATTCAGTTAAAGTGCCCACAATAGTTCCTAAAAAATATGTTTTGATATGAAAAATTTTTTTCTTCAAAATAATTCATACTGAAAATATTATAAAGAAATTAAGGTTAATTTAAAAGGAAAATAAATGAAGAATGAAATTCACTTGTAATTTTCTTAAAATTATGTTAATTTTAAACTAAAAAAAACTGATTACTTATTTTCATTACAGATTATTTATACATCATTCTCCATCATCGTTTTCTGGCATTTTCTGTAACGATTAATTGGAAATATTTTCTGAACCGGAAAACTCTGAAATATTTCAATAAGCATGAGGATTTTTTTTTCTTACCGCCAGGAGCATTTTCGGTGACATTGAAAATATATGAATCGCTTGAAAATATCGGAATACGTTGCTTCATCGATGACATAACTTTGACTAAAATTGACGTTGAACTTGTCACTTGCTTATTTGGCTCAGTGGCGATAATGGTAAGATTATAATCAGTTCCAACACGTAACTTTGTTGCTGTTGTTATAACACCTACAATAGAAAATCACGTAACACGTATTTAGACACAAAATCAACTGTTTAATTTGTATTGTTTGTAAATTATCTGAACTTAAAGTCTTACATTTGAATATTTTAAGTTTAAAAGTATTCACTGCAGATTGGTAATTAAATTTGGACTTTTAATAATACAACACGATGATTTCCGACTTAATTAGCTGGAAGTGGTTTTACATTTACAATATAAATATAAGCGTAATTTCATGAATTCCGAAATATATTTGATTTTATATCGGTCTTAATCTACAAATTAATGAATCCTTTCAGGCTTAATTTTTTGATAGTTTAAATTAACAATCTAAAAAAATATAAATACATATAAATTGAAATAACCTGTTATAGGATTTATAGTAAAACCACGATGTCCTTTAGATAATGAATATACAACACGATGATTTCCCACTAAATTAGCTGGAAGTGGTTTTACATTTACAGTATAGATATAAGTGCCAACAGCTGTGCTTTCTGGTATTTCAACAATCGATCGCAATTGATCGAATTTTACAAGATCTGCGTCCGATATCTGTTCTTCCGGTACTATCAATTGAACCAATAATTCCGCTAAAATTACATTTATTAAAAATATTTAAAATTTCGTGGCAGAAAGAATATAACAACTATTTTATCGATTTAAAGTTTAAACAGTCACTCATAAAGAAATGATTAATTAATAATTTCTCATTAGTCATTCATAAATTAATCGTCATCGTATATCTTTCGTAATCATTGTTAGATTTATTATTCATTCCACATCTAATTACTAAAAATTTAAATTCCAAATAACAAGAATAAATTAGCATCTCATGAATTCAACTATAAAATGCTGTTACAAAAAAAAAAAGATTACTAACCTTTATCACCCGGTTCATCCGGATGGCTCATATCAGTAGCGCTAATATTTGCCCAAAATGCCATAATGGAAGTGTTTTTGAAGCTCTTCGCAAGTTGTAATGTTCCATCGTTGAGACCATTTTTACGGAAACGGAAATGCTGGAGCAGCTGGGTGGAATCCGGAAGGACATTGCCAAGATCGTCATAAGCTTTCAGTGAATTTATCGAATACATCACTTTTGCATCCGGATCAGTGTCTATTGCAGTAAATTGATGAAGTATTGTTCCGGCACCACTTGCTAAAAAAAACTTTTAAGCTTTGTAAACAAAAATTTCTGATTTTATTAAAATTTCATTATAAGAATTTAAGAACAAAAAAAACTTTCTTTAAAAATTTTAAATTGAATGATATTGTATGTAATCTGTAACTGGAAAATTTAGAAAAATTAAATGATTAAGCGAAATAACTTGGACAGAAAAACTTCCTTCAATTTCCATTCATCTCAGTTCCGGAAGTATGAAAGTAATTCCGAAAGCATAAGTCTAATGTTTAGATATGGGTAGTTGTGATAATTTTGACAAATGGAATAGCTATCTTAAGTCACAATAATACA